GATTAAAATCTGTGATCACTTTTATTTCCTTCCACAAATCGATTTTTGAGTGAAAACATATAGCGAAACTATAGGCCCTAGGGCCAAAAGGATTAAAATCTGTGATCACATTTATTTCCTTCCAAAAATCGATTTTTGAGTGAAAACATAAAAGTCCATTTTCTGGCGAAACTATAGGCCCTGGGGCCAAAAGGATTGAAATCTGTCGATTTTTGACTGAAAACATAAAAGTCCATTTCCTGGCGAAACTATAGGCGCTAGGGCCAAAAGGATTTAAATCTGTGATCACTTCTATTTCCTTTCAAAAATCGATTTTTGAGTGAAAACATAAAAGTCCATTTTCTGGCGAAACTATAGGCCCTATTGTCAAAAGAATTAAAATCTTTGATTTGATTATATATCAGTTTATAGTCGTGACTATAGAGTAGTCCATATTCATGACTCTATACCAGTTTATAGTCATGACTCATGACTATAGACCAGTTTATATTGTTGACTATAGAGCAGTCTATAGTAGTGGTTATTGACTAGTCTATAGTCGTGCCTATTGAACTGTCTATAGTTTTGTCTATAGAGCAGTCTATAGTCTTGATTATAGACCAGTTTATAATCGTGTCTATAGACCAGTTTTTAGTCGTAACTATGGAGCAGTCTATGTATAATATAGATCGGTCTATAGTATTGTATATTGACCAGTCTATAGTCTTGACTATAAACCAGTCTATTACCTTGACTTTAGACCAGTATATACTATAATCTTGCCTATGGCCTTGTCTACAGAATCGCCTATAGTAGACTGGTCTTCAATCATGACTTTAGATTTGTCTATAGTTTAAACTATAGAATTATTAGATCTATAGTTTGGAATGTAGACTGGTCTAAAATCTTGACTATAGACTTTTCTATTGTCTTTCCTATAGACTTGTCTATAATTATGACTTTTCCATAATCTCCACTACAGACTTTTCTATGGTCTTAACTAGAGGCCAATCTCAAGTAATAACTAAAGACAAGTCTGAACTATATACTAGTATATGGTCTTGCCTATAATCTTAACAGCAGATTAGTCTTTATTCTTCCAGGACAGTAAATATATTATGTTTTGCAACACCCTTTAAGTTAATAAAATGAATAATTATTTATGTCTCAGTTTCATAAAATTATTTACTCTTTTGTTCCACAATTGTTTAATACAATAATGAGTTTTAAGCAAAAACTAAAAAATATATATTTTTTACACTTATTCACGACGGGTTTTGTATGGTTGAGTGAATATTGTCAGGGGAAAGGGAAATGCGAATTAAAGCTGTATAGTTGAAATCAATATTAAGCATAAATATGTATTTTAAATTTATTCAAAAGCGTTAGACTGCAAATTTTTTTAATGTTGAAGTGACTAATAAACCTTTGTTTCATTTAATTAAATTAACTTTGCTGCTTGTTCTTAAAAAAGAAAATGTATTTTAAGTTAAAAAGAAGATTCATGTTTTAATGCGATCTTACTTTATATACCTACTTTAAGATAAAATAATATTTAAAGGACTGTTAAAAATTTTGGAAAAAAATGTTAAAATTGTAGCAATATTTTTTATATAACAAACTGGTTTATGATAGTACAAACACTTTCAATTTTACAACATTCCAAGAGCTTAATAAACAACTGAGTAAATGGTCAGCAATAATTCAGGTTTTAAAAATAAAACAACTGAAACTGCTCTTAAATAGTAATTGCAGCAAATATTCTAGAAAATATGTATTTCGCTCAAATAAAGCTCTTTAATGCAACTAACTCAACAAAAAAACATTCTTAAAATGTCTAAATGTCGAAGAAATACAAAGCTTGCAAACGATTTATTTCTGTTTAAAACAAACTAGCTCTACAGCAACCTGTTACGCTGTTAAGTTTGTTTTTTTTAAATGTTCAATTTTCTGATACAACGCAAACAACCTGAAACAAAACACTTGTTATGCTGATGAGGGCGTTGTTATTGTTTTTCAATTCTACTCCACTCTTATCTAATAGTTAAATGGAAGTCTATTAGATGACGTAAAATTTCAGTTGTATGTATATATGTATGTTTAGTACTAAAACCAATTGCCATACATTCCTACCGTTAACTTATTATACTAACTAGTCTATTAACTGCTTGATTTAACATTTTCCTAGAAAGAGAAATCGAAATGAATATTTAACAACAATAAAACCAACAAAAAGTTTGAAATTCTTCTTGGCACAATTATTGTAATGTTTTAACTAAGTTAAATCTAAACAAATCATATCGATAGCAGCTGATCACTGAAGAAATTACGGGAAACAAAATGAAATACAAAAGTCCTATATATGTAGTAAATATGTATTAAATACAGAAATTTTATAAAACTTGGGGAAAGGTAAGAAACTATTTAAAGTTTATTTATTAATAAAAGAATTTGCCAATTTTATGGAAAATACTAGAGAAAGATTGACCCAGACTGAACAATTATAGATTATTGTCTATGGGCCTTGACTATAAATAACTCGTTGTCGTAGATAAGTCTTGTCTGAATAGAGACACTTCTATAATCTTGACAAAAGATAAGATATTACAGTCTTAGCTATAGAGCACTCCGGGCTAGTCTATGGACTTGACTATAGAATAGTCTATAGACTTGACTATAGAATAGTCTATAGACTTGACTATAGACTAGTCTATAAACTTCACCATAGACTAGTCTATAAACTTCACCATAGACTAGTCTATAGACTTGACTATAGACTAGTCTATAGACTTGACTATAGATTAGTCTATAGACTTGACTATAGACTCGACTATAGACTAGCCTATGGACTCGACTATAAACTAGCATATGGCCTTGACTATACACTAGCCATTAGAACTTTCCTATAGACATGACTATATACTTGATTAGAGACTAGTCTATAGACTTGACTATAGACTCGAGTATAGACTTGACTTTAGACTTGTCTATGGACTCGACTATAGACTGGACTATAGAATTGACTATAGACTAGTCTATAGATTTGACTATAGACTAGTCTATAAACTTCACCATAGACTAGTCTATAGACTTGACTATAGATTAGTCTATAGACTTGACTATAGACTCGACTATAAACTAGCCATGGACTCGACTATACACTAGCCATTAGAACTTTCCTATATAATTGACTATAGACTCGACTATAGACTTGAATATAGATTTGACTATTGACTATTTTATGGACTTGACATGACTATATACTTGATTAGAGACTAATCTATAGACTTGACTATAGACTCGAGTATAGACTTGACTTTAGACTTGTCTATAGACACGACTATAGACTGGACTATAGACTAGTCTATAGACTTCACTATATACTAGTCTATAGACTTGACTATAAACTAGCCTCTGGACTTGACTATAAATTAGCCATTAGACTTGACTATAGACTAGTCTATTGAATTGAGTATAGACTTGTCTATAGATCATTAGGCATGACTATGGACTCGACTATAGACTTGACTATAAGCTAGTATATGGACTTGACTATTGACTTGATTATACATTAGCCATTAGACTTGACTATAGACTATTTCATAGACTTGAAATATTGATTTTTTGTTATAGACTGCTATAGAGTTCACTACGTACTAGACTATAGAATTGACTAGTCTATCGACTTAGGTATAGACTAGCCAATCAATTTGACTACAGACTTCTCTACATACTACACTATGAACTTGACTATGGACTTGACTATAGACTCGACATAGAATAGGACTTGACTAAATACTTTATTAGAGGATTGTCTGTAGACTTGACAATATACTTGACTAGAGACTAGTCTATAGACTTAACTATGAACTTGACTATAGACTCGACTACAGACTTGACTTGAGACTTGACAATAGACTCAACTGTAGATTTGAATATAGCCTCGACTATGAATTTGACCATAGACTTGTCATTAAACTTGACTATAGACTAGTCTTTAGACTAGACTTTAGATTTGACTATAGAATATCGACTATGGACTTGAATATTGTCTAGTCTAGAGACTGGTCCATCGACTTGACTATAGATTACTCTATTGACTTGACTATAGACAAAACTATAGCCGTGACTATAGACGTGTCCACAGACTTGACTACAGACTAGTCATTAGACTGGACTATGTACTAGTCTTTAGACTAGACTATAGACTATTCTTTAGACTAGACTATAGGCTAGTCTTGTCTTGAGCATAGATTAGTCTAAATGTCAATAGTTTTGACTAAATAGCGACAGATTCTCATAAAAGTCTACAGTCTTAACACTAGACGAATATAATTCCTGACAATAAGCCACCCTTGACTACAGATTGAATATAGAATATTGGTTTAAAAAATTATTAACTTATTTTAAAAAATTTTAAATAAAATTTCAATAAAACTTATATTAAAGTTATTACAAAAATGCAATTTTCTTCCCGCCTCTAATATGTTGTTGTCTATTACCAATATTCATAGTTTTAGTTATACTACACATTATTGTTGCATTTATAAAATATTTCTAAAACAAATGCAATTCATATTATACATTTATTATTGTTATTGTTGTTTGTTTTTTCTTTACTTCTATGAAGTATCTATTTAATTGCGCGGTTTATTGTTCAAAGTTTAGTTTTGTTAGAAAAAAAGTTTTACAATGTTTTTTTTTTGCTTTTCTTGTTTATATGTAAAATGCTCTAAATTGAGCTGGTTCGGTTTGTTAGTTGATTTTGTTAGCCAGAGTAGCAATAGAAGTACAATGCGAGGTGCTACATAAGTAAGTATTTCAATAAATTTACGAGTGGTACGAATCTGAAATGTATCTAGACGAATACTTACTGCATGCATACCTGGACTTGTTGTAGTTAGTAAGTAAAAACTATGTACTTGTTATTGTTGTTGTAGTTTCTATTGCTGTTTCAAATTTTGCTGTTGTTATTGTTGGTGTTCGTGGTATAAAAGCATACAACTCTTTGATTTTCTTTTGAGTCCGTTGTTTCACAGAGTCTTGTGCAAGTGCAAATTCTATTTTACAACACAATTTTTTTCTATCTAGTTATTTTTTTTTCTGTTTCTTTTCATTACAATTTTTTGTTTGTTTTTGATTGCTTGACAAAACAAAAATTGCATCTTTTGAATTTCAATTTTGTGTACTTTTTGTCTTCTTTCAATATTATTGGTTTTGTGTTATTTGTCAGCAGTGCACATGGTTTTTGCTAGATAAAACGTTTATCAAGAGAAGAACAAAAACGCCATATGATTCCAGAAAACTAAAGATTGGTTAAACAACGAATAAAAAGTGATATATTTATTTATGCATTTTTTTGAACTTTTTTTGATTGTTAATTAAGTGTTTTATGTAAAGAAAATTTAAAAAGTGAAATATACCTTAAAGACTGTTTATAAGAACCAAACTTTTCTTTTTAAAATTTATTTTACATTTTAAGTTAAGCAACAAAATAATGTATAAACTGGTAAGCATTATATAGTGATATTTAAAGTTTAAAATAAAAAATAATAGTGTTAATTAAATTATTTTAGTTAGCTATGACTTGTTTTAAGTTAAATGTGTAATCGTGTAATATAGAACAAACTCTTTAAAAAAATTATATTATTGAACAAAAAAACGAAGTTATGTACTATATACCTTGAAAATTACAGTAAATAAAATAACTTGACTAACTTTTTCAAAGTTGATTCCATTCGAAGAAATATAATATGTTTAACATTAAATATTTTCTGTTACCCTGGAATAATATGTATTTCGGTTTAAGTCAGTCAACTTCTTATATGTACAAATAAGCTTGCTATTCAACATTAACCCTTTGTCATAATGAGTCATTAATCATAGCTTTATAGTTCTTGTTAAAATTCCCGGATGAAATCGATAATTACACAGTGAGACAAAATAAATATGTATGTCTCACTTTAAAGCATCCTTCAGAAAATTAGTTTGTGAACAATTTTGTATTAAGAAAAAGATCAATAACGTAGTCAATTGCTAACGGATTTTTAAAAACAAAGTTGTATTTTTCTCATGAATAGACATGGTTTTCTAATCAATTAATAAATAGTACGGTTCCTATATAAAATAATTTCAAAAAACATCTCCAAACTTGGACAAATAAAATCGGTTCAGATTAAGCTAAGTTACTGACTTATTAGTGCTTATAGGTACGAAAAACCGGTTTTTTAGTCGTAACTCAAGATTTTAGAGGTGTTTAGCAAATCTAGAAAACATATTCTTGTTCTACTCGGATCCATCTTTCAGAAAAATAGTGTCACTTCTCAAGTATTAATTTTTGTCGCATAGTGTTATTCATGTAGTTGTTGTTGAACAGCGAGTAAATGCTGCAGGGGAGATATACATATCTATAGTTCCCTTAATCTGATTCATAAATTGGGATCAATATCGTTATATTGGGATCTATATCGTTAAATTGGGATCTATATCGTTATCCTTGAATGTTACTGTTTTGTAAGCGATCCACTGGTTTTTAAGATATTTCGCTCATTAAGTACTTAAGTAATTTTTTTTGTGTCATTATTATTCATCGATTATCTTAATGGACAACATATGCTATAGGGATTCCTCTAAATAGGGTTGGGGATAGCCCATTTTCATTTTCAATTACATTACTTTAAAAGTAATTGTAATTAATGTTTTAACAATTACAATTACTTGTAATTGAGGATTTAACAAATACAATTCCAAAAGTAATTGTAATGAATGTTTTAACAATTACAATTACTTGTAATTGAGTATTTAACAAATACAATTACAAGCAATTGTAATTGATAATAATTTGATGGCAATTCCTTTTGATTGATAATTACTCAATTATGATTACTTTTATTGTAATTGAAAAAATGTATATGAGAAAGTAATCATGAATGATAAACTTTTAGTTTTCTAAATTATGTAATTATAATTGATCTGTTTCCATTATAATTACATGTATATATTGACAATATATCGATTACAATCATTAATAATAATCGTTTATTACAATTACTTGTAATGTGTAATTGACCCTGCAATAAATTACTTAATATAATTATTAAGCCTCAAGCCTGCATCTTAAAACACCGATTAACTTAGAAACTATAAAACCGATTTTGTTTTCTTACAATCCAGATACATATATCACTGAGTTGATATACTTACATAGATCGGTAAATTGGCGATTGCCGTATGGCAAGTTTGTTTTCTAAGTCTTTTGTTTTGATCGATGTACATTAGAGTTGCTCGTATTCCCGCCTAAAATTAAAGTTTAGTTAATTCTACGATATCAATGGGAGAGTAATAAGCTTTTCATTTTATTGCTTTTTTAAAGAAATACTTCAATTTATTCGAAATCGAAAAATTCCAAAAAATTTCATATATACTTTTATATAGAATATGGAGACCTTTTCATCCATTGATCTAGCCCACTAAATATTGATCCCAGAACAAAAATTTTGAGAAATGGTAACTTATAATGAACCATGCTGCCATTGTTGGTGGGAACATCAGTATATTCTTTGTTTTCTCTACACAAACGGGACCAGCCTAATGTACATACATACATATATAGAGTATTTGTTCTAGTACCAGTTCTTAAAATTCTCTAAACATTTTGATATTTGTTACTGTTCTAAATGAAGAAACATTTCTTTATTCCAATTTCAATTATATTGTCATTCACTGTATAACTATTATTATGAACATATGTATGTATGTATATTTAATACATAGTTTTTGTACATACATGCATATTTATAATTCCATAAAATATAACAACAATAATAACAATTAAGTGTGGTACATGAGAACAAAACATGTTACGAGTATTTTGAAAGGTGTGTCATAGAATGAACCAAAAAAAGTTACCACACACTGCAAAACACCACCACTAAACGCAAATATGTATTAATATTAGGGTTGTTCGAAAAACAGTTGTAATTTTTTTTTTAACTAAGATTAAGAGAAAATGGTAATAATTTAAAAAAAACATGGGGAATATAGATTTCGTTCTTAACATATCGAAATATATATTCTTATTAGAATCAAAAACAATGTATCATGTCCGTCCATCTGTCTGTCTGTTAAAATCATAATAACAACTAGAGAGCTGAAATTTTGCCTAAATATTTGTTCCTGATGTAGTTTGTTTGATATTGAAATATCGGTTCACGATATTAACTAGTCGCCTATATAACAAATATTATCTTAAACTTTAATATAACTAGGTTTGAATTAATAAAAAATGGTTCCACCCTATTCTATACATATATGTATATGAATATATAAAAGTAGTCTAAGTCATTTAGAAATTTAATCTAGAAATATTACAACACAATCGCATTAAAATTAACACACATACATATTGACACACTACTACTCCCCTGCAGTGCAGAGTGGTAGTTCCAAACTAATGGCTATTATTGTGCTTTGACTTTTTACCAATTATAGAAAACTTTTAAATTACTTAATGGTTACTATAACAAGATTAACTTAAGATTATCTAATATGATGTTTTTCGTATTAATCTAATATTTCTAAATTTGGGGAGAATATATCCATAATGAAATATATTGAATTTTTGTAAAACTACTACCGGGTATGTTTTATGTGCATATGTTTGATTGTATTAAATCATTGATTACCATAAATGATAACGGAAATATTTTTAATTGACACATGTTGTTATCTCAAAATAACTACTACTTACTTATTATTCTGGTATTTGTTTCTTACATACGTACAATAGGACTTGTACTTAGAATCATGTTATTTGAAATATGAAAACATGTTAGGGTGCTGTATTCGGCTATGACGAATCTTAAATACTCTACACCTCTAAGCTACTTTTTATAAAAAAATTAATAATGAAAGTTTAAATTTTGCTTCCGTAATATAATTTTTATCAAGTCCATAATAAACCTATGACCCATTCCGAATTAGAGGAATGATTTTTATATGTATTTATAGAGAAACAATATTATTTATTCATGAATTACACGTGTTCGAACGATACCCATAAATGGGTATCGATAACATCGGATTTTACTCCATTATCGTTATTTATTAATGAAATATATTCATACTATGACCTATAATGGGCCAATCCGAACAAACTTTTACAGAGTGATTTATTTTATAAATTCGAATTTTAACCAAATATCCTTATATATTAATAAAAAATCTGGGATTAAGAGACATTCGGAAGTGGACCTCATATGAGAGGTATGACCAATTATGGACATATACGAAAAAAAATTAGCAAGGTGACTTATATATATTCTTTAAACACATTGATGAAGAATTTTATCCCGATATTTACATTAAGTAATGAGAAATGTCCGTTTACGTGATTATCGGAAGTGGGGGTTATATGACCCTACTTATGAACCGATCCAGAAAACATTAAGCAGTGATATAAATACACAAATCATATTTATGTTGAATTTTATTCCGATATCATTACTTTTTTAAGTAGTTATGTGCATTTAAGTGATTTTCGAAAATCGACCTTAAATGGGTGCTACGACCAATTATGGACTGATTTAGATCTAGGTTAATTAACTTAGTTTTTGGCAGACAGACAGACGGACATAGATATATCGATTCAAAATATCACAAGGACCAGATGAATACATCTTGCTGTTACACACGAAATGACAAGCTTATATATTGTACCCTCTATCACCACTGATAGGGGTGAAGGGTATACGAAAATAATATTTATTTTCAATACGATTAATAGCTCATAAGACAAAAATCATGTACCAGCTCAAGAAAAACCACTTAAACGGGTGGTTTAATGTTCTAATTATTTTGATATACATATACAGACATACATACATATATAAGTATGTTCATTGGTATGTATAGTACATATGTATATACACAGATACATATATATATTTATATTAAAAGATATTTCGATACAAACCCATTCTACTTAAGTGTGTACATACATACATATTCATACAATCACACAGAAATCTTATTTGTAAACATTTGTTAACCAAGGACGTTTAGGTGGTTTCAATTTTATTAATTGTTTTCTTGTATTTCGTACAATTGTGGTTCTAAAAGTAGAATTATTATTAATTAATATATATAATGTACTTATTTCATTATTCATTCCAAAAGTGAATAAATTCGTTATAAAATTACTATGATATCATATTTAATTTGCAGAGTGAAGGGGTTTTATTAAAGAATTTTAATATTTATTAATATAATATGACTTTTACTATGTGAATCATTGGAATTACTAAATTATAAATAAATTAAACAATTATCCAATAATAAATAGAATAACATTTTTAAAGAATTTTTGGTTTTGAAGAACCAATAATACTTAGTTTATCGATTCAGATTTTTCTGAAATGGGTTTGACATGTCCTATAGAAAATGTTTTACAGGCTTTTTTACAACCAAATATCTTCCTGAAACAAGGTTTATTAAGCCTACTTAGCTGACTTATAAGGACTCCTTCATAAAATAATTTAAAAATCAACAAATCGCTTAAAAATATCTGATCTGATCGCTGAAAAATATCTATCTCCCTTCTTGTTCTCCTTACAGTTCATAGTCTCCTGTCTAGTGATTGCTTTGCAAATAGTTAAAGCACAACAACAACAGTATACCACACCAGTGCCAATTCTAAAACAGATCGATAGACAAAATTCCGATGGTTCTTACACGTACGGATATGAAGCGGCAGATAAAAGTTTTAAAATTGAAACGAAATATCCCAATGGGGAGGTGTATGGTAAATACGGCTATGTCGACGATCAGGGGAATGTACGAGAAATAGAGTATGGAGCCACAAAAAGAGGTTTTGAACCAGCAGGTAATATTTTATTATAAATTCGTAATATAAAATGATACACTACTAAACATTTTATGCATTACAGGCAGTGATATAAATGTGCCACCACCTACCTTAACCAATAGTAAGGCAACACCTTTGGGTCCCAATGAAATAGACGATGGCCAGTATCGTGAAAATCCCGCCGATTATTATAAAGGTCAAAAGTATAATCGTCCTGTGGCGGCCAGTAAATTCTCTTTAGATAACTATCAACAGCCCAGACCACAACCAGCCTATAACCCGGCTCCCGCCTATAACCCTGCTCCCGCCTACAATCCACCTTCCGTATTTAATCATGCTCCTGCTTTTAGACCTCAAGCACCAGCTCCTGCTCCTCAACCTCAATATTATAATCCACCACCACCACCACCACCACCTGCACAGCCCCACTATCAACCCAATTACTATCAACAACCTCAAGCACCCCGACCTCAATATAATCCCTATAATCCCAGCAGTTCACCCAGTCACTTCCATCCAGCCGTTAAAAGTCTTGATATTTGGAGCGGTTCCTATAGTTTGGATTATACGGGTAGAAAGTAGAACTTGCGGAGCAGTATTAAGCTGCAGCAGTTGTTGAAGATGTGTCAAGAGAGTTTAGTTATTTTAAGTGCAAAAGAAATTTTAAACTTGTTAGAAGTAAAGAGTATCCCTAGATTGTCACCATTTAAGACTAAATGTTAAAAATAATTAAATCATTTTTTGTTTTATGTATAAATAACGATATAAGCGATATAAATAAAAATATATAATTTATAATAACGATATACAAATGTTAATATCTTTAAATCTATTAGTGTACTAGTGTGATAAAACGGAGGTGGTCGGTTAGATTCCCACCTATGGCACTGGTTAAGGAGCGCTCAATAGGCCCGATACAGTAATAGGTGCACTTCGACGGATTTGATGTATATACAGGAGGATGTATTAACATCAAATCCAAATCAAACAAAGTAACTAAGTGTACTTCGCATTAAATTTGGAACTATGTATGAGTACAACTGTAGTTAGTTAGTTAAGTTAGTTAGTAGTTAGTTAGTTAGTTAGTTAGTTAGTCAGTTAGTTAGTTAGTTAGTTAGTCAGTTAGTTAGTTAGTTAGTTAGTTAGTTAGTTAGTTAGTTTGTTAGTTAGTTAGTTAGTTAGTTAGTAGTTAGTTAGTTAAGTTAGTAGTTAGTTAGTTTAGTTAGTTAGTTAGTTAGTTAGTTAGTTAGTTAGTTAGTTAGTTAGTAGTTAGTTAGTTAGTTAGTTAGTTAGTTAGTTAGTTAGTTAGTTAGTTAGTTAGTTAGTTAGTTAGTTAGTTAGTTAGTTAGTTAGTTAGTTAGTTAGTTAGTTAGTTAGTTAGTTAGTTAGTAGTTAGTTAGTTAGTTAGTTAGTTAGTTAGTTAGTTAGTTAGTTAGTTAGTTAGTTAGTTAGTTAGTTAGTTAGTTAGTTAGTTAGTTAGTTAGTTAGTTAGTTAGTTAGTTAGTTAGTTAGTTAGTTAGTTAGTTAGTTAGTTAGTTAGTTAGTTAGTTAGTTAGTTAGTTAGTTAGTTAGTTAGTTAGTTAGTTAGTTAGTTAGTTAGTTAGTTAGTTAGTTAGTTAGTTAGTTAGTTAGTTAGTTAGTTAGTTAGTTAGTTAGTTAGTTAGTTAGTTAGTTAGTTAGTTAGTTAGTTAGTTAGTTAGTTAGTTAGTTAGTTAGTTAGTTAGTTAGTTAGTTAGTTAGTTAGTTAGTTAGTTAGTTAGTTAGTAGTTAGTTAGTTAGTTAGTTAGTTAGTTAGTTAGTTAGTTAGTTAGTTAGTTAGTTAGTTAGTTAGTTAGTTAGTTAGTAGTTAGTAGTTAGTTAGTTAGTTAGTAGTTAGTTAGTTAGTTAGTAGTTAGTTAGTTAGTTAGTTAGTTAGTTAGTTAGTTAGTTAGTTAGTTAGTTAGTTAGTTAGTTAGTTAGTTAGTTAGTTAGTTAGTTAGTTAGTTAGTTAGTTAGTTAGTTAGTTAGTTAGTTAGTTAGTTAGTTAGTTAGTTAGTAGTAGTTAGTTAGTTAGTTAGTTAGTTAGTTAGTTAGTTAGTTAGTTAGTTAGTTAGTTAGTTAGTTAGTTAGTTAGTTAGTTAGTTAGTTAGTTAGTTAGTTAGTTAGTTAGTTAGTTAGTTAGTTAGTTAGTTAGTTAGTTAGTTAGTTAGTTAGTTAGTTAGTTAGTTAGTTAGTTAGTTAGTTAGTTAGTTAGTTAGTTAGTTAGTTAGTTAGTTAGTTAGTTAGTTAGTTAGTAGTTAGTTAGTTAGTTAGTTAGTTAGTTAGTTAGTTAGTTAGTTAGTTAGTTAGTTAGTTAGTTAGTTAGTTAGTTAGTTAGTTAGTTAGTTAGTTAGTTAGTTAGTTAGTTAGTTAGTTAGTTAGTTAGTTAGTTAGTTAGTTAGTTAGTTAGTTAGTTAGTTAGTTAGTTAGTTAGTTAGTTAGTTAGTTAGTTAGTTAGTTAGTTAGTTAGTTAGTTAGTTAGTTAGTTAGTTAGTTAGTTAGTTAGTTAGTTAGTTAGTTAGTTAGTAGTTAGTTAGTTAGTTAGTTAGTTAGTTAGTTAGTTAGTTAGTTAGTTAGTTAGTTAGTTAGTTAGTTAGTTAGTTAGTTAGTTAGTTAGTTAGTTAGTTAGTTAGTTAGTTAGTTAGTTAGTTAGTTAGTTAGTTAGTTAGTTAGTTAGTTAGTTAGTTAGTTAGTTAGTTAGTTAGTTAGTTAGTTAGTTAGTTAGTTAGTTAGTTAGTTAGTTAGTTAGTTAGTTAGTTAGTTAGTAGTTAGTTAGTTAGTTAGTTAGTTAGTTAGTTAGTTAGTTAGTTAGTTAGTTAGTTAGTTAGTTAGTTAGTTAGTTAGTTAGTTAGTTAGTTAGTTAGTTAGTTAGTTAGTTAGTTAGTTAGTTAGTTAGTTAGTTAGTTAGTTAGTTAGTTAGTTAGTTAGTTAGTTAGTTAGTTAGTTAGTTAGTTAGTTAGTTAGTTAGTTAGTTAGTTAGTTAGTTAGTTAGTTAGTTAGTTAGTTAGTTAGTTAGTTAGTTAGTTAGTTAGTTAGTTAGTTAGTTAGTTAGTTAGTTAGTTAGTTAGTTAGTTAGTTAGTTAGTTAGTTAGTTAGTTAGTTAGTTAGTTAGTTAGTTAGTTAGTTAGTTAGTTAGTTAGTTAGTTAGTTAGTTAGTTAGTTAGTAGTTAGTTAGTTAGTTAGTTAGTTAGTTAGTTAGTTAGTTAGTTAGTAGTTAGTTAGTAGTAGTTAGTTAGTTAGTTAGTTAGTTAGTTAGTTAGTTAGTTAGTTAGTTAGTTAGTTAGTTAGTTAGTTAGTTAGTTAGTTAGTTAGTTAGTTAGTTAGTTAGTAGTTAGTTAGTTAGTTAGTTAGTTAGTTAGTTAGTTAGTTAGTTAGTAGTTAGTTAGTTAGTTAGTTAGTTAGTTAGTTAGTTCTTTAATTACAAGAAACACTTTTAGTCTGACTTTTTATTAGAAATTTTTAAATTGTTTAAAAAAATAAACATTTAAAAATTTTCTCTAATGTCCTTTAAGAATGTATTTATATTAAACTATCCTTTTTTTGGAGTTATGTTAAATGAAAAGAAATATTGATTTCAATATTTATTCAGTTAAACTAGACTCCAAACATCTTATTCATATTCATTTATCGATGTTTTACAGAACTAATTTTGTATGAAAAGTTTTTTTATAAATAAATAAATTTAAAAAAAGGTAGGGTAATAGAAAAAGCATAAGTTCAAATGAAGAATAAAACAAGAAATAAAAGAAAATAAATATAAATAAATTTAGATTGTAAAATTGTAGATTTATTTGTTTAAAGAGATAAATGCAGACTTGAACTATTTATTTTTTGCATATTGAACAAGTTTCTATGAGATTTTTAAATTTATTTCAGTTTTTCTGTTTTATGTTTTCTTCTATTTATTTAGCATTTTTATAGGTGAATGGTTGGTAAATGGGTGGGGCCCCGTTACATTTTGAATAAATTTCTGTAAGAGGTGCCTTATTCGTTTTTATATTTAAGTGGGTGTTAGTTTGAATATTATATATTATTTTTTTTATTTTGTTTCTTTTAGTTAGTTTTTGTTTGCAGAATACAAGGTTTTTTTTTTCCAGTTGTATGCATGAAAAATGGACCAGAAAATACACAAAAACTGGCATAAAAAAATAAATAAACCCAATAAAATCCATTGTCTTTTATATTATTAAATGTTATAGAGTCGCTAGAAACAAACGTAATCTGTAGTAGGAAAATTAACAAAGGATTAAAGTCGACTTTTAATAGCTTACAAAAGAATTAAAAAAATGGTTAAATTTTACTCGATTTTGAATTTTGTATTTTGTTTTAAAATATATAACTATAAATACTTTTGACTTAAAACTATGTCAAATACTTTTAGCATTTCATTCATTCCATCACACATTCGGTTTTTATATGGATGGTCAAAACGTAGTATGTACGTTTATTATTGTTGCTTGTGTGGGAGCAATTTCGATGAAACCCTTTAATTTAAATTAAGTCCTATTACCAGTTAGTAGTGTTTACTGTATTTTATATATCCATTCACTGGAAAGAAAATAAAATTATAATAACAACCGCAACATTTTATGCATGATCACTATAAAGCTATTGGTATGAATAATTTTGCAACAAAAAATGTTGGAACTAGCACCCCCTGCCGCTTATAAAATTCTCTTTCAACAAGTAAATATTTAGTAGAAACTACAATTTGCTACCATTTATTTACTACAACTACTCTGCTAAACATGCAATACACTATTCCACTTTAATACCATCTACCACATACTAGTAACATTTGCTTTTTGTTTATCTGACTGACTGAACAGATATTTTTTTGTTTTACCCTCAGTTATCGAGGTGGTAGTGGTGGTGGATTGACTGTTGTTTGGTTTTTTTTTTTGTAGTATTTGGCTGTGGTCTGTTATACTGGTCAATATTTTTTGATTCTGTTTAGTGAATAAATATTGCATAAGAGTATAGGAAATTTACTCATACAATAACAGAACAATATTTTGTAGCAATAGATGTAGTAAAACTAAAGTTAAAAAAAAAAATATTTTCAAAATTCTTTTTGGTTTTCGTGTTTTGTTGAAATGTGTATTTATAAAAACACAGACATTTACATAAATATAGCAATATTATGTAGATATATAAATTTTTGGGAGAATCAAAAAATTGGTACATAACCAATAGATATGGAAGTCTAGTCTATAGTCTAGTCTATAGTCTAGTCTATAGACTAGACTATAGACTAGACTATAGACTAGACAATAGACTAGACAACAGACTGGACTATAGACTAGACTATAGACTAGACTATAGATTCTTTAGACTATAGCACTAGACTATAGGACCTTACTATAGAACTAGACTATAGACTAGACTATAGACTAGGACTATAGACTAGAATATAGACTATGACTATAGGACTAGACTATAGACTATACTAGACTAGACTATAGGACTAGGACTATCGGACTAGACTATAGACTTAGACTAACAGACTATAGACTAGACCTATGGACAGACTATCGACTAGACTATAGACTAGACTATAGACTAGACTATTAGACTAGACTATAGACTATACTATAGACTATACTATAGACTAGACTATAGACTAGACTATAGACTAGGACTATAGACTAGACTATAGACTAGACTATAGAACTAGACTATAGACTAGACTCTATACTAGACTATAGACTAGACTATAGACTAGACTATAGACTATAGACTAGACTATAGACTAGACTATAGACTAGACTATAGACTAGACTATAGA